CAGAGAGATATTAATTTGTTTTAGCTGATGTCTGGTCACTTTCTCAGAGCCACAGTACATAATTTTCTGTCTTCTAAATTTCTTGAGATTTAGAGTGGTATTTCTTTCCAGGACTTGGCAAAAAGGTGATGCAAAGTACTTGCATAAAACTTAACAGGCAGAGCATTTTTGTTGTCCTTATGTTCAAATTAAATATCTGAAGACTGATATTGTTAATTTCTCCTCCTTTATCATACGCCATTTAGATTTCCTCTTACGATGTGCATTTTGGTTCCAGAATTGTCAAGGCTCACATCTTTCTTGAGTTTCTTTGTAACCATGGCAAGTACAAACTTACTTTTTTTTCTCTAATGAAAGCCAAGACTTTTGTGCAGTGATCTACAGAAGACAGAACGTGAAGAAAAATACTTTAAAAATTTAAAATACGGTTTACTATCAACCATTCCAGATAACTATTGATTTAAACAAGCCTTTAAAAACTGGTTTAAAGGTGTTCATCCAAATCTTATAATCTTATGGCCAATGCACAAGGGTGAGGTCCGCTAGTTATGTTTCACTCCTCTGTAACATTCCCTCACTTTAGACTTCAACATGTTCCTCTAACTTGAGTGAACTGGCCTATTGCTGAAGGAAGACGATGACTTTCTAGTAATCAAGAAAAATCAGAGGAAAAAAGCCATTTGTTGATGAACAGACAGAACCAGGCTCACCTGATTCCCATTCCTGTGAAATAACCAGAAGAGCTACACTCATGAATATTGAGTATCTTGCCTGCCAGAACTGTAACTATCCCTGAATATATTCATACTGTGCTTAGGCTGGACCCCGGAACTGGGAGAGTTACAGCTTGTACTGACAACAAAAATAAATTTGCTCTTGTTATTTATTCAAGGCTAATTCCCTCATTACTATGAGCTAACATTCATGTTCAGGTCAGAAAGAAAGGGGAAGAATTCGGTTTGGGATTCTTTTTGAGCTCATTTGGATCTCTTCCACAGAGCTGTCTTGAAATCTGAAGTCTCTGTGAGTACCCAGAATCTGCTGTGTGAAACAGAAATAGAACCTATTTTCCATCTTAGAATATCTGTCTTTTGAATTTCAACCATTTGAAGACTGAGATTGCATTTTTCTCTATATCGAACACAGCACATCACTCACACTCAGTGCACAGAAAGGCAAGACCTAGAAAACACAGAGAAGAAACAACCAGAAATTATTGCTCCTCAGGCTGCAAGAAATAAATATTAACTGAAAAGAAAAACAAAACTAAGAAGAAAGAGTTTGAAGAATGCACTTAAATTTTAATCTGATGTTTGTTTGCTTCCCCTGAATATCAGAAAGCAGCTCTATTTTAAAAGAAACCAGCCTCTTGAAATGTTCATTTTACAGTTAATCAAATACACCACTGGATATAAATTAACCCCACTCAAAATTAGCTTGTTTTTCTGCTTGTTGGGTATCAGTTCAGATTTATTTGCTATGGACCAAATTCAGCAAAGTACTTAAGCACATGCCTAACTTTGATCATGCAAGCAGTCCCACTGAGACTATTCATATGCTCAGATATATGTACACAGTTAAGGAATTTGCTGGATCCAGCCCTACTTTTCCTCAAGAAAGCATTTGCAGACAGAGTTTGTTCTGTTCCAACCATGAAGAGCTTCCTGCAAGTCCATGACAGTGAAAGCAGTGCTGATCACTTGTCACTGGTCACACAGAGCTGTTTCTGTTCTCAATGAGCTGGATTTTATAGTGTGGATTAAATTGGAAGGGCCCACCGAGACACTGCATTTCTCAAAGTGAAATGACAGTGGCAAGGGCAGAGGTAGCTGCTGCTAGATCGAGAGGAGGAGGAAATTAAGGAACCTCAGGAACATTATCTTCTTGGTTTTGGTCAAAAATGCATCATACTTGGAAAACCAAATACTTTACATAACTAAAAGGTATTTTCTTATTTTCTCCTTTCTGTGCTCATTAAGAACGCACGTATAAGGCTCTGCATGTGTGTGGCTGTGTGGTTATAAGGAATTCCCTGCAACTAGAATCCAAAGGGTGTCTTACTCCTTTCCTGGGGTACCTAAATTACCCCTTTGGCAAAGCCAAAGCAGGATCTTTATGGGAAAATTGCTTTCCTACAGATCTGAAAACTTCTCTGGCTAGATCCTCCTTACCCTCCTCCAGCAAAGTGTGGGAAAAGGATTGAGTGAAGGTGAATGTGACTTTAATTATTTGGAATTACATTAAAAGTAACAAAGTTAAGAAGTGATTGGGGTGGGCACCAGGCATGAAGAACTATCACAGGAGAGGCACCCTGCATCAGTACAAAGTCCTGCCCTTGGCTGGTACAATTTAGCATCACTCTGTAATACCTTCCTAACCAATCTTCTGGGAAAACCAGGCATCTTGTTCTTTCACAAAAAGAGCAGCTGGACTGCTGTGTTACATAAGGGAGGTATTTGTACAATTTTAGCCCCATTTCATGGCTGGATTTGAGCCTGATTCCCCCCTTTTTGCTTAAATAACCACTGTCATGTTCCCTGTGCTAGCCTTGGTCAAAGTCTTGGTCAAATGTATGTAATTGAAGCAACACAGAAATTCAATTTTCTCTTTTTGCCACCATATCACCTTCCAAAAGAGTTACATTTTTGATGTACAAAATCACTCTTGAAAATGTATTTGATGCCATCTCTGGACGTCCTGTCATATCAAGCTGTGCAAAAATTGCTCTGAAAAATTCATAAACACTATTTTGAAGCAGTGGAAATGTGTTCCCTTCAGCGACTTCATAACCAAATTGCAGAAGGGAAATAAGAAGACATAAGACAGTAGAATATTAAAAATGCCAATGCTCAGCCAGCAAATCAAACACCAGAACAACACTGAGCATAAACATTTTATGCCTTGTTGTGCATGTGCTGAACATTCAGAAATCTCTTATGTGTGGCCATTAATTTTCCCTCTATAAAGGGGTGCTTTTCATTCACTAAACTTTCTCACAGGAAATTACACAAAAAGTGTATAAAATTATTTGTTGGGCTTGAGAAACTAATAGGTGAGTGAACTTTGAATAGAAAACTCGATGTTTGATGTTGTGGCCCCCGGTTCTGCTGAATACCTGAAGCAGGCAAACAACACAAACTCAATGACTTATTAAGTACTTAGTTTTCAGTAAACCATTAACCCCTTTAAAAAGGCTTTTCTCCTCCTAACAATAATTTCCCGGGTCATATGGCTTCAGTAGCTTCCCAGATCATTCACTCCATAAGAGTCTCTGGGAAGCCTGAATTTTGGGAAAATTTCTTCCATGAGTTTTATGGCTCCTGTTGTGTTTACAGGCTTCATGAAAAACAAAAGGAAGCAGTGGTATATTCTGAGAACAGCAGAATCTTGACAGGTATACTTGGTTAAATATTTTGCAACAAAGACTCTACCTAGAAAATGCATCAAGCTTTTCGGATGTTGTCTAACGTTTTTGAAAGTCATAGTAAAAGATGCCTAGTGCAAACAAATCTCATCCAGTAGAGTACAGAACTGGTCATCAGCACCAATGCTTTTTCCTTTCATCCCTCAAATGATGGTTTTTTCAGAAGTTTCTTAAACTGAAGGTGTGTGTGTGTTTAACTGATCACAGAAAGTACATGGTCCCCAACAGAATAATCTAATTTTCACAACCTCCACTTCATATTGTGCTTAAGGCTCTTCTAACAGACTGCTTAGCACCTCTTCCTGTGGATAAAAAAGTCTGAACAAAGAAATAAAAGTGACAGCCTTCTGAAGACTTTTTCAGCAGGAACTCTGGAGGTGTGCTTACAAAAAATCTGCTTAGCAAAATGAATCCACGAAGAAAGATGTCATCATAATCCAAGATTCAGACCTACTAGGAATATTTGTACAAACATCCCCCAACCCAAATCTCACAAATATTTGCTTATATCTAAATTGAAGTTATGCTCGTACTCTTGAAAATGTCCTCCGTGTAGCACCAGCACAGAGTTCTGTGGAAGCAAAACCCTGCTCTCCTCACTGAAGGATCAGGGAAAAAAAACCACCTCCATAAAACACTTTGGGATGCTCAAAACCCGCAAGAGGAATAGTGATAATACAAACAAGAAAAAAAGTTGTTTTGATGAGACTCTTCTTTAAATGACCAGTGTGTCCTGGACATGGCACAGGCAGTTTTGGGAAGGCCACAAGCCCAGGGAAGAGCTGGGACTGACTGCTGGTGCTCTGCTGCTGCAGCTGCTGGGAACCGAGCGCAGACCCTGCGCCAGTGTTTGCAGACAGTGAAAAATGCCTGTGCATCACAGCACTGAAGTTCATTTCCAAATAGGTTTCAGATTTTTTTAATGGTCATTGTCCCAAAACTAATTAAAACTTCATACTCAAAACTTTTTGCCCCAAACAGCCGCCTGCAGTCTTTGCTGCTCTGAGGTTTATGACTTTAATTTTTTTTTTTTTTTTTGACCTTTTCCGGGGAATTTTCCATCATCAAAATCCAAATCAGCAACACAGAACACTGCCTGCCGGCTTCTCGCATCCCGGTTCAAATAAGCACCAAAGGCATTCTTGTTTCTTCCAGAAACAATGGTGGGCGGGGGGGGGAGGGGGGGGAAATCTCGTGGAAAACCAGAGAGTAACCCGAGGTCTCCGGCGCGTCCGGGGCTCGCCTTGTGCTTTGGGAGGGGGTGTGGAGGAGGGCGGGCGGCCCCGAGCTCCCACCGGCCCGCGGTGCCGGGCACAGCTCCGGGGGTCTCCACTCAGGCGAGGCTGCAGCGCTGCTGTCGCTCGGGGCCGGGGCGGCGGGGGCGGATGCGGCTTTAAGAGCTCCCACAATGCCGTGCTGGCGCCCCAGTTCCGTTACATGTCTCCCCCGGTGAAGGGGAGCGAGGCAGCGGCAGGAAGGAGGCGGAGACCACCCCCCCCCCCGCCCC